ATTTTCATTGATAATAATATAATTGTGATAAATGCAAAAAGTAAGGAATCTCGAAATTAAATAAATAAACATAAAAATAATTTTATAACCTCGGCTTGCCTTTTTCGTCGAACCATGGTTTTTTTATGAATACACGAAAACTTGAGAGTTACTGCTGTTTGAAGTATTAATGTTATAAACAATAGCCTATAATTCGTTTGGATCTAATGTTCAGTCAAAAAATTGGAGATTTTTCACGATAACTTAAACATATATTTGATCAGATCGGTTAGATGTAAACACAAACTGGCGCTATTTTCATCCAAACACAATCCAACGGCTGCGTTCCGATATTCGCCAGTACTGAAACTGTATATAGTTTAGGTAACGTATATTATAGATTTTCAATACTTGCAGTGAATATCGGAATGCAGTCACGTAGAAAGAAAAGGATGTGCGAAAAATCTGTTACTAGAATGATTAGAATCCCTAGAATCCAGAGTAGATGTTTGTATCGGCTAAGTTAGGCTGGCATCCCATGACGCGGAAATCTATAACGGAACGGAACGCGCGAACCAATCATAGCGGAAGAACAACAGAAAACTTGTTTATTCTTTTTTCACTATGATTGGTTCGCACGTTCGGTTACGCTGTAACTTTCCGCGTCTTGGGATGCCAATCTCAAACTTTCTAATTAAATGACGGAACTAAATAGAAGTAATATAAAATATAATATAAACTAATTTAAATAGGAGAAGTATATAAGTATATAACAAAATAATTATAATCATAGATGTTTAAAGATGTTGAAAAACTTTCTGGTAATAATGGTTTTGATAAATGTCAAATGAACCTAATTTTATCGAAATTGAAAGTGAGAGGAGTAAATTTAACATTTATCATAATTTTTACATTCAACAACACAACAATTTGTCATAGTTTAAATTTTAATTGCAACATGAACTTGTATAAAATTCTTATTCTTATAAAATTTTATAAAATTTTTACCAATGTTTCTATCGATGTTTATTAATTTTGATCTGTTTTATTTACTTTTTAACTTTTTCTAATTTTTAAAACTGGGGAAAGATAAACAGATAATAATAGGAACTTTCGGTGAAATTTGAAATGAATCTGATTTCAGTTAGAGACTTGCCACGCCAATGCATTGGCGAGCCTGGCTGCAACGGCAGTTGTCATTCTTCTTCCGCGAGTGGTGGTTGGGCGATTTTTACATCTCGTCCATCGTAATTTTTCGCAATTGTCGCACGGAAAATGCATTAAGTGTCGATTCTGCGGATTATTCAGCATTTCGCTCAGGTGAGACCTCGATTGTCAAGTGTTGCATTTCAGCCACGATCACAGACTCACTGCGCGCTTTTGAGGTTAACCTTGTTTGTCAGACTCGAGCCTCTCCTGCTGGAGGTGGGTTTCGTCGTTGCACGAAGCTATTCGCACGTGTAACGTTGATGGGAAAATTATACGAAGCATGCGTCAATCCGACATAATGATATCACGCAATTACTCGCGTGATTTTCATGATTTCCAAGGCGAGAAGAGATTTTAATCGTAAAATTGAGTTGCAAAGCGTTTGGTTTCGGCGATTTTAAAAAATTTTTCTTTTTTTTCATAGTATTTATTGTTTATATTTTGAAAAATGCAACAAAATATATAAAAGTCAATAATATATAAAAGTCAATAATATATGAGTAAAAAAATACAAACACAAACGCTAGTGAAATGCTTATAAAAAATATAAACACGAATTACAAAGACTTTCAAAAATAGTTTTAAAAGATTTTATTAACTTAAATTTCTTTTACAGTATTCTTTGTATTATGAAATCTCACTAAATAATAGAAATTTATCACGAATCAATTCACATTCTAATTTTTATATCAAGTTTGATTTATTTATATTTTGTATATCTTGTATATCTCCCTTTATTTTTTACTTTTTTATTTTTTCTTAAA